ATTAAATCAAGAGTGTGACCACCACTATGGGTGGGTCCTATTACATTCTGATTAACCCCTACTGAATCTAGAATGGACACAACTGCTGTTCTCAGAGGGTCTTCTGGATTATCAAAAAGAGTATTAAAGTCTCCAACAATTAATGCTTCGTCTAAAGCATTAATCTCTACTCTGACTCTGATTATCTCTAATCTCTGTCTCTACTATTGACCTATAAATTACTGAATGGTCTCGTGCTGCAGTACCTGAGTGAAGTTATGGTCTTTTATGATCCGCCACACCTACTTGGTGCAGGCTCTTTGTTGGTACTTAGAAAAATGAAGACTACAGCAGAGGGCAAAGCTTTCTCTTACAAAGCTCCACAGTTTTGGACTCAGACACAGTCTGAACCTTTTAGTCTAGGCTGAAAACATATTTGTTTAGTCAAACATTTTGTTAATAGCTTTTCTCTTAGGTAAAGCGCAGATCTGGAGGGTTTATGAGCATAGAGTGTTTTGATGAACTGGGATATTTGGGATACAACACCCAGCCACCCCGCCCCCCCACCACACACCTGCACACACACACACGCACACACATTTGCTCATTGTTAAAAGTGCTCTATAAATACATTTGAATTGAATTACTTCATTATGTTCTTGTAAGAACACAAACGAGATGTGATTTGTAGTTGTAGTCAGTGTGTGTGTGTGCGTGTGTGTGTGTGTGTGAGTGAGAGAGAGAGAGAGAGAGAGAGAGAGAGAGAGAGAGCTAAATGAGTGTTACTTACACTGCAGATCTTAAACTCCCGGATGGTCCACTCTGGTAGAACGGACTCAGACTGCATCCGCACAATCAGATCTCCATAATACAATGGGTCCTGATCAAATGGCCAGTAGTGGTCACATTTCACCTGTATATACACACACACACACACACACACACACATACACACACACACACACACACACACACACACACTGAGAATTACTGAGAACACTACAGAAAGGCTGCACTAATATAATATATATAACATAGTACAATCCCCTCCGAAAGTATTGGAACAGCAAGGCCAATTATTTTGTTTATGCTGTACATTGAAGACATTAGAGCATGTCTATTACAAGAACATTTATACTGAGAACTTCTATAATGAGAGCGTCTATAACAAGAACATACATAACTATCCAAAATCATTAGGAACAAAACACAGACTGCAAAAGAGAAATAACTGTGAATACTGAGATCTTGACTGAGATTCTGAGGAATAAAACCAGAACCAAAGCTGATTAATGACATTACTGCTGTCTCATTTCACACCCCGTTCAGCATCTAGTGCACATTATTATATTATATATTATTTTATACAGTAAATATCAAGAAATAAAAGAGGAAATTCTGATATATTGTCTCATACTCATCTTTTAATCTCAAACCCAAATGTCTGATCTGTGTGGCTGAAAGTACTGGAACAGGCCAATTCTTTTGTTTTTGCTATACACAGAAGATATTTGGGTTTGAAATCAAAATACGAATACAATGATATATCAGAATTTCAGCTTTTATTTCCTGATATTTACATCTAGATGTGATAACAAAAAGTAAATTAAAGTCAATAACATTTAATATTTGGTTGCATATCCCTTGCTTGCAATTAC